TAGTAATCTATGGTACAATTGATTATAGCAAAAGAGAGAAAAATTTGAAAATTTGCAAAATATGAAAAAGTAAAAGTATAAAATTTTGTAGTATGTCTGCAATATAGTAATTAGATAACAATTCTGATGATAATATGAATAAAAGAATTAACATCAACCCCTTTTTTTTTTTAAAAAAAAAAAAAATCTAATATTGTTGTAACATTTTGCTGCATATTGTGATTTTTAATAATTCATTAAAATTATTTTGATTTAGCTTCAGCAGTTTGTTTAATTTCAAAAGTAGGATTTTGATAATACAGCAAAATATTACAAACAATAATTAGTTATATTATTCTTATTGGATATAGTATGCAATCTAATTCGCATAGTTGCATAACTTGTGTGACTGCTTTAAAATGATTAGTAGACAAAAGCGAAGTTGTGACCTATTTGATTTATGTACATCAATAAAACTTCTAAAAATTTCTGTGATAAAATTAATTATTTGATCCATTATCACTATCATTAATTGGTCTATTTGCATAAGAATATTAACAAGGTGCAAGATCTCTCTTTCTTTTCACAAATTTAATATTATAATAAATTGTTTAATTTTGTATGATAATTTATTTATTTAATTCGAATTTAAAATATGATCAACATACTCTGTGTCAGATTCAGTTCAATATTTTAATAGGATGTTTTAAAAAATCGCGCGATTATTTCTAACTGAATTCTAACTATATGAGAATCCTGCATCAATCTTCGAAAATTTTAAAAATAGCTTGCACACTTGTTGCCATTCTGATGCATTACATCTAGATAGAAATGGAAGATAGTGATAATTCGTCAGGTAATCTAATAATTTTGTGTTGTCACATACTTCTACATTAATACATTTCTGTAGGCCCTCTTGATTTTAACTTTTATTTTCAAATTTTTATTTTGAACATTCTAAATATACAATATAAAATATTAAATTGAAATTATCATGTTTAGAATGTCAATATTAATAAAAAATGGGTGGCCATTCAATTTCAGAATAATTGATACAAATATATTATTATATATATTTTTTCTATATTTTGTTTCCATGTGAATTATTGATACTACTCATCAAATTACTTTTGTTATAAGTGAATAAATAATTAAAGGTGATAAAAATTCTATTTTTGTTGTTGGTCTTATTATATTTGAACGCTCGAAATTCATAGTTATTTATTATCAATTAAATGCATAATCACGAGTGTATTAAAATTTTTGAAGAATAATTCAATAAACTAAAAAGTAAAATTTCAAATTATTGGTATTATAATTGATATAAATATGCTGAAAGTTAGAAATATACTCAAATTTTCAGATAATTACAGAAACAAAGTTTTTGTATAAACGTCAAGATTCATAAAAATTCAAAAGTTCGCAAAATAAATCATAATTAAATTAAGTTAATTAATATTTTGAAATTTGTATCGTTCATGTTACATGATATGATGAATCTTCTTACAATATGTTACCCAATTGATCGAATGTACAATCATGTACAATCATATAAATTTAGCTAGAATTTACTCAAGGATTTAGATACCGTTAATAATAAAAAATAGTAAAATAATGGGATTATTATATTTAGAAGGGTAATTTTGCAATTTATTGCACAGACTTTACCTTTGAGGCTTAATAGTCATCAGAAGCCAAATTTTAAATTATATCATCCTGAACTGCGATATCGACGGTGTTGACGTTAGACCGCTCGAAAGCCTGGTTACTAACTTTATCAACATAAAAAATGATTCGCGATTGCAGGGAATAAATATTAATTGAATTGAAAATAGTATCATCCTGAACTGCGATATCTACGATGTTGGCGTTAGAACGCTCGAAAGCCGGGTTACTAACTTTATCAACGTAAAAAAATGATTCGCGATTGCAGGGAATAAATATTAATTGAATTGAAAATAGTATCATTCTGAACTGCGATATCGTCTGTTTTGGCGTTAGACCGCTCGAAAGCCAGGTTACTAACATTTACATAAAATGATACGCAAAGTTCAAAGAATGAATGCTAGATGAAGATGACCCTTTTTTTCTTTTTACCCTTCGCAGATTTCTAAAAGAAATTCTGTATCTATAAAATTCAAATTCTTCTTGCTCTTGATAAAAAAAACTTGTTGAAAAAATCTGCTTAAATAGTGAATAAAATGAAGTTACTACAGCATAAGCGTGTCTCGTTAAAATTTGAAACCGAATGTTACGTGATATTTCTTTACTCAGGTTTCAAAATAGAAATACGATAAAACTTCTTATACCATTAACGCAAATAATCGAAATTACATTAAGTATGAACAATTATAAAAATATTTAGGAGATATATTATTATCGTTAATTTATGCAATTACTATAATAGAAACAAATTTACTCAATCGCTTACTAATTTTCAAAATAAAATTTATTATATTTGTAGAGAAAACTTAGGAATTATTTTTCGTTCAATATAGCACCAACAAATTGAATTGAATTTAAAATGAAATCATTTAGTATCAATAATTCAAACATGGACTTTTTCTATTTTTCTATTTTTTTTTTCATTTATAATTCTGTTCTATGGGGATAGTTACATTGCTATTATTGACATTAATTTAAATTTATCCCCTTCATTTCTGTAACATTTTGTGGTATGGGCAGTTGATTAAATTTAATTATTATTGAAATTTGCATTTTCAAGTTCAATTTTTTTCACACCAAACTTCGAAGTTCATTTGATGTAATATTCGATCACAAATTAAAATTTCATTCTTGTGTAATATTTTTAAAATCATTTCTATATCTAACTTTACTAGTTGAAATTTATTCTCATGCAATATTTAATATTATCGATATAATCAACGAGCGTGTTTTGGTCCTAAAATGAAAATAACGAAATAAATTTATTTGAAAGATTTTATTGACTCGTTCCCGCGGATTCATGAGTCTTTTATAAGTCATCAAAATTACGTCAAATATATTTAAGATCTCGCGGTTTTCACTAACCTTACGAGTCTCCATTCGGGTTTTTCCTACCCTTATTAATTATTTATTTGTCAGATACCTATTGTTTCTTTTGAACAATTTAATATTAGGCTATCTGAAATGAAGGATTGGCACTATCGCCTGAAAAGTGGCACAATGGCTACACTAAATCCTTTAGGCATTTCGCCTTTATACTGGCATTTAAAGCCACATTAAAAATCGCGACGTAATGAAAAGATCAACAGATGTAAATTTACTCTTGATAGGATACTCAAAGTCATTAACTAGAGTCACTAACTTTTCAATATTACTTTCTGAGTCTTTTATATTATTACTTGATGACTTTGTTACTAATCTTTACAATTATTGAAATAATGAAAATATTTCTGTTATGAAATTCGGACCTGGCAATGCTCGTAATTGTTTTTGTTAAAAAATGCTTAGTTAACAATATTTGCTTGAACTTAACCTTGATGGTTATATGAAGTCAACAAAATAATAGTGGTGTGTGAACAATAATCGAACTACCCATTGTTACAAAAATGTTACCCAAGTACAACCAAAATCCTAATACTTAATAAAATATTCAAATTGACAAAATATTATTATTTATATTCTAATTGACAACCAAAATCTTAAAGAAAATTGAAGACTATGATGTTCTGATCTGGATGTTTAGTTTTGCCAAAAGAAGGATTGGTTTTTCTTACTTGGGGAGTGAGCCTTAATCGAGAAGTCTGCGTCGATTTGGTGAGAGTATGTCCTTGTCCCTCTGCGTAGAGTCGCCTTTCTCACGGTGTTATTTGGTATGCCTCTACCTTTAATGCCTCTGATACTTCGTGCCAGTCCTGATCCTGCTGGTTTTCAGCTGTTGCTGTAGCGCCGGATGCAAAATTTCTGCTACTCAGCTTCTTGCTCGACACTCACAGCACATTCAACACTGCACTTCACCACGAGGTAAAACCACCGCTTGACACCATGAAATGATAAAGTTGTTGTTGTGGGGTTGATTGAATTGGGTTGGGTTCCAAATGTAGATTGATCCACTCTCCAATGGGGTGCTAGATCAGTCCAACCTTGTTCTGGTGTCGTGGGCAGAGCTTAGAGTTTATAATAGAAAATAACAACACTGGTATGAGTCTCCTCAGAACCGTGAGCACTTTATATTGGTATAGGCTGAAAGATGTCTTTACGCAAAGTAGAATACAAACACTGAATCTAATTTCGACTATAACTTTATTTAATCTTTAATAACTTCACATCACAAACTAGCATAGATTCGTGCTAAGACATACTCTTAAAACATTATCACTTGGCTAGACTTTTGACTAAGACATCACTGGTTAATACAAATAATTCTGACTCTATATATTATACATTGTACGTGTCAATTCTAGGAATGGCGTCTTCCGCGTTCATGTAAAGATCTTGGACTTTGATCAACATTGAACAATGAATTCATATTTTGATCAAAAGCACGTATGATCGTGTTATTACAGAACATTATTTATATTTATATTTATATATTTATATATTTATATATTTACATATTTATTTATATATTTATATATTTATATATTTATATATTTATATATTTATATATTTATATATTTATATTTTATTTTATATATTTATATTTTTTATACATTATATCTTTATCTATTTATATTTTATATATTATATATTTATATATTTAATCTTTTCTCTATTTATCTATTTATATCTTTATATTTATCTATTGATATCTTTCTCTCTTTTCTCTATTTCTCTCTTCTATCTTTCTATCTTTCTCTCTTTTTCTATCTTTCTCTCTTTCTCTCTTTCTCTCTTTCTCTCTTTCTCTCTTTCTCTCTTCTCTCTTTTCTCTCTTTCTCTCTTTCTCTCTTTCTCTCTTTCTCTCTTTCTCTCTTTCTCTCTTTCTCTCTTTCTCTCTTTCTCTCTTTTTCTCTCTTTCTCTCTTTCTCTCTCTTTCTTTTCTCTATTTCTCTCTTTCTCTTTCTTTCTCTCTTTCTCTCTTTCTCTCTCTCTCTCTTTCTCTCTCTTCTCTCTTTCTCTCTCTCTTTCTCTCTTTTGTCTCTATCTCTCTTTCTCTCTTTCTCTCTTTCTCTCTTTCTCTCTTTCTCTCTTTCTCTCCTTTCTCTCTTTTCTCTCTTCTCTCTTTCTCTCTTTCTCTCTTTCTCTCTTTCTCTCTTTCTCTCTTTCTCTCTTTCTCCTCTTCCTCTCTTTCTCTCTTCCCTCTTTTCTCTTTCCTCTCTTTCTCTCTTCCTCTCTTCTCTCTTCCTCTCTTCTCTCTTCTCCTCTCTTTCTCTCTTTCTCTCTTTCTCTCTTTCTCTCTTTCCTCTCTTTCTTCTTCTCTCTCTTTCTCTCTTTTCTTATTTCTCTCTTTCTCTCTTTCTCTCCTTTCTCTCTTTCTCTCTTTCTCTCTTTCTCTCTTTCTCTCTTTCTCTCTTTCTCTCTTTCTCCTTTCTCTCTTTCTCTTTCTCTCTTTCTCTCTTTCTCTCTTTCCTCTCTCTTTCCTCTCTTTTCTCTCTTTCTCTCTTTCTCCTCTCTTCTTCTTTCTCTCTTTCTCTCTTTCTCTCTTTCTCTCTTTCTCTCTTCTCTCTTTCTCCTCTTTCTCTCTCCTTCTCTCTTTCTCTCTTCTCCTTTTCTCTCTTTTCTCTCTTTCTCTCTTTCTCTCTTTCTCTCTTTCTTCTTTCTCTCTTTCTCTCTTTCTTCTCTTTCTCTCTTTCTCTCTTTCTCTCTTTCTCTCTTTCTCTCTTTCTCTCTTTCTCTCTTCTCTCTTTCTCTCCTTTTCTCTCTTTCTCTCTTTCTCTCTTTCTCTCTTTCTCTCTTTCTCTCTTTTCTCTTTCTCTCTTTCTCTCTTTCTCTCTTTCTCTCTTTCTCTCTTTCTCTCTTTCTCTTTTCTCTCTTTCCTCCTTTTCTCCTTTCTCTCTTTTTCTCTCTTTCTCTCTTTCTCTCTTTCTCTCTTTCTCTCTTTCTCTTTTCTCTTTCTCTTTCTTCTTTCTTCTCTTTCTCTTTTTCTCTTTCTCTTCTCTTTCTCTTTCTCTTTCTCTTTCTCTTTCTCTTTCTCTTTCTCTTTCTCCTTTTCTCTTTCTCTTTCTCTTTCTCTCTTCCTCTTCCTCTTCTCTTCCTCTTTCTCTTTCTCTTTCTCTTTCTCTTTCTCTTTCTCTTTCTCTTTTCTCTTTCTCTTTCTCTTTCTCTCTTTCTCTTTCTCTTTCTCTTTCTCTTTCTCTTTCTCTTTCTCTTTCTCTTTCTCTTTCTCTTTCTCTTTCTCTTTCTCTTTCTCTTTCTCTTTTCTTTCTCTTTCTCTTTCTCTCTTCTCTTTCTCTTTCTCTTTCTCTTTCTCTTTCTCTTTCTTTTCTTTCTCTTTCTCTTTCTCTTTTCTTTCTCTTTCTCTTTCTTTTCTCTTTCTATTTATATTTATATTTATATTTATATTTATATTAATACGGCTACCAGGAATTCCTCGTTCATGGGGAAGAATTGCAAGCCCCAATTCCTAGCACAAAGAGGCTTCAACGGATTACCCGGACCTTTCGGCCAAGTAAAACCTGCTGATCTCTTCAGTGTAGCGCGCGTGCGGCCCAGAACATCTAAGGGCATCACAGAACTGTTATTGCTCAATTTCGTGCGACTAAATGCCGCCTGTCCCTCTAAGAAGATATATTTGTACGCCGGTAGTGAGAACCACCAACGACCGAAGCCAAAGCGGAGGGTCTTTGCGATACTAGAAAGTACGCCTATTTAGCAGGCTAGAGTCTCGTTCGTTATCAGAATTAACCAGACAAATCACTCCACCAACTAAGAACGGCCATGCACCATCACCCACCGAATCAAGAAACAGCTCTTAATCTGTCAATCCTTCCGGTGTCTGGACCTGGTGAGGTTTCCCGTGTTGAGTCAAATTAAGCCGCAGGCTCCACTCCTTGTAGTGCCCTTCCGTCAATTCCTTTTAGTTTCAGCTTTGCAACCATACTTCCCCCGGAACCCAAAAGCTTTGGTTTCCCGGAAGCTGCCCGCCGAATCATCGGAGGAACTTCGGCGGATCGCTAGCTGGCATCGTTTATGGTTAGAACTAGGGCGGTATCTGATCGCCTTCGAACCTCTAACTTTCGTTCTTGATTGATGAAAACACATTTGGCAAATGCTTTCGCTTCTGTCCGTCTTGCGACGATCCAAGAATTTCACCTCTAACATCGCAATACGAATGCCCCCAGTTGTCCCTATTAATCATTACCTCGGAATTCCGAAAACCAACATAATAGAACCGAGGTCCTATTCCATTATTCCATGCACACAATATTCAGGCGAATGAGCCTGCTTTAAGCACTCTAATTTGTTCAAAGTAAACGTTCCGGCCCACCTCGACACTCGGTAAAGAGCACCTTGGTAGGATTTTGAGTTGGGCCGCCTTTTTACGGGCTAAGCGCACCGGTAGGACGTCCCACAGACATGCCTGTTGAACACCGCGAGCGGTGAACCGACAGTGTGGGACACAGATTCAACTACGAGCTTTTCAACCGCAACAACTTTAATACACGCTATTAGAGCTGGAATTATCGCGGCTGCTGGCACCAGACTGGCCCTCTAATAGATCCTCGTTAAAGGATTTAAAGTGTACTCATTCCGATTACGGGGCCTCGGATGAGTCCCGTATCGTTATTTTTCGTCACTACCTCCCCGTGCAGGGAGTGGGTAATTTGCGCGCTTGCTGCCTTCCTTGGATGTGGTAGCCGTTTCTCAGGCTCCCTCTCCGGAATCGAACCCCGATTCCCCGTTACCCGTAACAACCATGGTAGTCGCAGAATTTTATATATTCTGCGCAGAGGCTAGTCCTTTAACAACCGTCGAAACGGCGGTCCGTACATGAAATTTGCGGTCCGCAGACCCAGTTAATTTCAAACAGTCTCTTTACCCTTCGTTAGATTGAAAACGTCGGAGCGAATTCATTATAAGAATTCATCGTTATAACTAACTTTTATTCTCGCTCGGAGAGTATTAAGTTGATTGCATTTGTATATTTTATTTACCGCATAAGAGTCTTTGCGTCAACGACACATGCCCGCGGATATGCTGTACAGTATGGTTGAACACTTATAAATAAGGTCCAGAACCCGGCCGTAAACCGACATCCGAACATATACGGCGTATATTATTCTAGACACGGTCTACGACAGTTTGACCTGCAGCGACGGGTCGCCTCGGGTTACCGTGCGAACCATCACCGCGATGGTCTGGACAGGCTATATGGCGGGTCGCAAGAAAATAAATTCTCTAGGACGCGCAACCACTTTAGCAATTTTAGAGCACGTTGTGGTCCAAAAACAAACGTCCTCGCTTCAAAATTGAAATATGAATATTTCACTGTGTGTGAGATTGAAAAATTTGCTTTCGCTGATTTTTCATTTTCTTAAAACAACGCAATGAAGCGAATGTTCAAATTTGCACAATTTGAATAAAATGTGCAGAGTATATAGAATACTAACGCAAGCGTTTACTGCAATCGACTTTAAAACACTAGACTTTCATCTAGCGCCCAAAGAATTGATTGAGCTATGCGTTTAAAGTATAATATTCCAAAAGAACGCCGTTTTCACAACGAACTTCGTCATTCGCTCAGGCATCAGGCGATACCAAGCAGATATACATGGCAGTGCTCTCACACAATGCATAAGAGCGCTAAGCGGTTGTAAACCGCGTCACGCTGCTTTTGCACACTGCGCAATATTTTGCGACTAGCTCCGGTCAAACGTTAATGAAACGAATGATCATTGCCAGAGGCTTTTGCCCACAGTATATTATACTATAGGAGCGCACTTGATTACAGCAATAATTTGTCGAGTAATCACAAGATTTCATATTTGCGGTCAGCAGACCCAAATAATTTCAACTCGCACCGATCGAACGTTTATAAAACGAATGATCCTCGGTGCGAGAAGCTTCGTCAGTTCTGCTTCACCACCCACCTATTTGACTTTAGTTCATTTGTAAAATCTTATATTATTAAAATATATAGATTTTATATTTGCGGTCCGCAGACCCAAATAATTTCAACTTTCTCTGATCGAACGTTTAAAAACGAGTGATCCTTCCACCAATTATCTATAGCCGCAAACCAGCATCCGAATATATACGGGGTATATAATTCTAGATATGGCTCACAACATTATTTAAAGTTACGCTAAAATATCATTGACAGACTAAAAGTATCGAATATAATGTAAAAACTACACCGGGGAATGATATCCGTACCCGCCTGAACAACATAGCGTACTTTAGCCTGAGCTTGCTCGCATCGCACTCGACACGACCTATCCCCCTATATAAGGAGCGCGGCCACAGCGTAAGTTTTCGACTGAGTCCCAAGCGACGTGATTTTGACCTGCGGCGAGGCGTCGCTCCGGGTTACGGTGTGAATCGTCAAGATAAAAGTCTGGGAAAATTTCGAACTGTGAACCCTTATGATAGAAATTTTTTTTTCGAAAATTTTGTTAGATGTTTAAACAGTTTTATATATATGGATAATATGAATTATAGTTAATTATTGAGTTTTTAGGTGTTTTTTTGGGTTTTTTTTAAGATTTGTATAAAAATATGTATTTATTGATTTTTATAGATGTTTATTAAATTGACCATTCGGTTTGAATGGCCAAAAAAGTATTTGTTGAGATAGGTTCAAAGTGTTTAAGAAGTTCGTGATCTATCTGGATGCTGCCGAACTCTATTGAACACTTGCACTTTGTCGAAGGACCAGATATATTTAGTTGTTGGCTATATCAGACCGTTTGAATAATAAAAATAAAAGATGATAAATAAAAGATGATGAATAACTGTTTAATTATTGTATATTTGAAATATTAAGACTTATAGATGATTAGATAGTTGAGGTTTGAATTAGATGTTATGGATTTGAATGTTAATTTACGACTCATCTTAACTATGTGAAATTTAAGTTCATACTAAATTATATAGATTTTATAATTTTATATATTTTTCTGATTGGCCCATTTTGTGGAATTAAGGACACCCCATTACAATTTTGGAACCAATCAGTGGTTATTACATTTATCAACCGATCAGGTATTGGTTGGTATGATACGGAGTTAATGTGATACGGAGAATTTAAACTGGATACAGGTAGTGCGAATTTCTTGGAAATATAAGGATGAAAGGATGATATAGTTAGGGACAGGTGATAAAAAATTCTAGGAAAAATGGATTACTGATATGATGACCGATTGAAAGGGATGCGGGTTGGGAATGAAGATAATGGAGATAATAAAATATAATAATTATACCAGGGTTGGGAATGAAGCGTTAACAATAGATCTCAATGAATATAATACGAATTTATATATAGTTATATTATTTTCTTTAATTATTTGTTTAAATTTTCTAATTTTAGAATAAATGTTCAGACCAGTTTTCCTCGATTTTCTCTTAAACGGTAAAAGATACGAAAAAACTTTGTTCGTACGAAAGATGCAGAATAAAATGACGAATAAAATGGCATATAAATGGTTAGGTGTGTTCATATAATTTTCTCTAGATTTTCCGATTTTTTCGAATTTTCACGACGGCAACTCGCCTGTAGGCCACACCGTGCAAAATTCGAAGTTGTGATATATGGAAAAAGAACTAAGAATTTTGAGACCTTTCTAATGATGTATAATACTTTATATGTTTTCTTTAGAGAAATATCGAATCGTGAGGAGTGTTGCTTCAACCTAGCCGCACTTTGCATTTTGACAAGTTAACAACTACACAGATTGCTCTATACTATCTAAACCATAAAAGATACGAAAAAACTTTGTTCGTACGAAAGATGCAGAATAAAATTACGAATAAAATGATGTATAACTCGATATATGTCATAATATATTTTTCATGAGATTTTTAAATTTTTCCTTTAAATTAAAAAATGTTTTAAATTTATTTGCGGGTTATGCTTCTTTTACAATATTGTTTCAAATGATGTAAAAAGTTAAATTAGCGAGGTGCCTCAATATGCAAAAAATTGGCCCACCCTAATATATATATATATATATATATATATATATATATATATATATTGACAAGTTATTTAGAATCGGGCAGTAACACCAAGTAAAAAAAACTAAAGTAGTTTTGAAATACTTTAATTATCCATACGTTTCGGTATTCATCGAGACCGTCAGTGGAAAAACTAAAAAAATTTATATGATGTAGGAGGAAAATAATATAAAGTTATAAAACTTATATATAAATACTTACAGAAAATTAATTATACAAAAATGCACTACACTATTACACTGTGATAAACCAAGCTATTAATAACTGGAACATTTAAATTAATTATTTTTTGACAATTTTTGGTTACATTCTAGTGTGTACAGATTAACTAACGTCTTCTAAATACTTAATGAAATGTGTTTACAAATTTTGCAAAAGTGTAAAAAGACTGACAAACATATGTTTTTAGTAAAATAATAAAATAATAAAATACACGCTTCATTCAGATATGGTGGTGTTTTGAAATATAGTCAAGGATTATTTTATAGTCATTGCAAAGCGAATTGTTGACCAATCTTTTATTTATGGCCGTCTCATTGTGTAAAGAAATT